TAAATGCGTTTCGCGTTGGCTGAGATTTGATCACCGCTGCCCCGTGTGCCGGTTTCCCATGCCCTGGGTTCAGACCCTGATGCCCAAGACGGCCACCGAGGAGGAGGAGGATCGGGCACAATCCCTGGATATCGTTGTGGCACCGGCTGGGTTTTTTGCGAAACTAGGGTTGGTTTTAAAACAGCTATTCACAAGGTTGTATTTCACTTATTTACTCAAATGATAATCAAGTTCCCCCATTTTTTTTTCCTCGGGAAACTGTAGCTAGTTGGCCAAATCCAATATCTGATAGATTTGCTTTCAAATTTCGCTGCTTATTCCACGTTTATACTTCGATTTTCTTCCTATATTATATTTCTCTCAAGTCGTTACTTTAGTTTCAATTTGTCCACACCTCCCATTTTAGAACCTCAACATATGTTATTAACCAGCGAGATTCGGAAAAATATTGTTTGATATGTAAGGAGTAAACAATGTTCCATATCGTCTCAAGAAGAGCATGATGGTTATGCTAAAGCGAACTATATATTGTGATGATATTTGAGATAAGAAGAACATGATGATTATGCTAAAAACGAACTATATATTGTGATGATATTTGAGATAAGAGTAGGAGGGTACCTTTTGTCCTTAAAAAAAACACAGAACTAAAATAAATATTGGATCAATTAATTAACTAAATTGAGATGAAGCTTTTTTCTGATACAGCATGTTGGGGAGATGATTCAAACTGAACTATGCTCGTTTTGACAAATTGAGATAAAGTTACTACCCTAGACTAATTTATTAAATTGGCCTTGCTCATTTACTAATACTTTTTTTAGTTCAAAGACCATTGATTTGTAATAGTTAATGATTCACAGTTTAAAGGGTGACTATGAGGCAAGTAATTAATATAATACTTATTAATAATAATTTGATGGTACCTATTATAGATATAGTTTAATATAGTAAGCATGTATAAAATATATATTCAATCAAGAGGATGTGAGTTCGATCTTCACCTACCTATTTACTAAAAAAATGTTAGTAGTTATTTTGAGAAATATCATTCCATGTAAAATTTCGTATAAAAAAAATTACTATTATAAAAATTAAATTACAAATTCGACCATAAATTTTGATGATATTTTTAGATGCAAGTTTTGATGATTGTATTTATTTAGCTTATAAAATTATTTTGATGATTATAGAGGAGTAGTCCTATTCAGATATTAATTAAATAATAATCATTCAAGTATAACTTGGTCTAACTATATTATATTTAGGGAAGTTTGTACTAAAAAAATTATATTTAGGGAAAATACATAAAAGTATAAAAAAAAACATTTAAAAACAATATTAATTAGAATTTAAAAGAATTAAAAGAAATTTAAAAACAAAAGTTTTAAAACATGAGTTCTAAGTGTGTGTTTGGTTACTAATTTGAAAACATAAATATGAGGATTCAATAAAAATAAAAATGTTTTCAGTATTTTCGAATATTTGGTACAAGATTTGAAAATTATATTGAATCTCATTTAAAATTTTTTTTGATGTGCCTAGATACCAACTAAATATTTAGTTCAATCTAAAATATAATTAATTTATTAACATGTCTATTATAAATTTGGTGTAGTTATTATTTTACAATATTATATAATTTATAATATATTATGTTTCACATGTTTTAATTTTAACAAAAAATTTAAATGAATTTATAACATAAAATATTATTTTATCAAAGTTTTTATTTTTCTAATGTAATTATGCATTATTTTAAAATTTTAAATTCAGAAGTCAGAGACAAAAAAAGTTGTTTCAAAATTTCTACGATTTGAATTACAAAATTTAAAAACAGTTTTCAAAAAACAATTCTGYCGAATATATCTCAACTAAATCCATTTGATTAAGTGAATTTGAAAAAAAAAAAGAATTTGAATTATCTACCAACAGACTCGAATTTTCTCCTCCTTTCATTTTAATAAATTTTTTATTTGTTATTTAAGATTTAACTAAAAACAAAAAATTAAAATAGAAAACGTAGCGAGAATTTTTCCTTTTTCTTTCGTTTTAAACTTGATTAATTATTAGTCCAATTCGAAAATCATGTTTATTTTTTATTGGCTATTTTGGTTTAAACGGCTTGATTATATACTTTTAAAATATTTACTTTTGGTCTTTATATTTTCAATTTTATTTCATTTTAATCTGTGTACTCTCAAATTGTTCGTTTTAGTCCCTAACTTTAAGAAAGGTTTCTAAATTTTATTTTAATATAATATTTTCAATCTCAATATGGCACTACACTCGATATATTTCTTGAAATGAAATCATGATTAAGTTTAGTTTCATCATCGAGTATGAAGTTGGCCCATGTCTAGTCCAAATCCGATACAAACTCGATCCAAAAGTTAATGATTGACCAATCTGGCTCAATCTGGCCCTTTAATAAATTAGATTGGATATGAATTTTTATTTCTTAAATTAGCTAGGTCATTTTGTTTAATAATATACATTTATCTTTCACTTATTTAATTCAGTGTTTCTTTTAGTACAAGTTGAAGTAGAGAATTCGAACTCATAACCTCTCTGTTAGAGATATATATCAAGTATCGCCAAACTAATCTCAGGTTGACTAATTTAATATTTCATGTTATATATATAGATAATATATATTCTAAGAGGCTTATTAATGGGGTTAAAAACAATTGATAAGCCTCTTAAATTATTTTTCAAATTCTCTCTTTACTTATTTTTTTCCTTATTATGCAAACCTTTCAAATTTTCTTTAAAATATTTTTTAATAACAAATCCCGTGATTTAAACTAATTTTAACTCTTAAAATTGTTTATCATAATTGTTTATTTATTATTATTTTCTATAAGTACAACATGTGAGATAGATGATTCGAACTCGCAACTTTTTGAACGGACATAGGTGCCTTAACCGCTACGCTTAGGTTAGCCAAAATTTGTTATTTTTGAATTGCATTTATCAAATTTTATAATCAAATATCTCATGTTCAACATTAAAAATCAAATATGTCATGTTTAACATTAAAATAATAGTGCATTCTCAAAAAAAAAAAAAAACATTAAAATAATAGTGTTGACAACAACTGATCTAAGAATATGGTTGAAACATTTTAAGATTCTAATAGATTGAGGTAAAAATGTGAATTCCAAAAAATTAAGGACAAATTAAAAATTACTCAAAAATTATTAACCATTTGGTATATTTAACCTAATTGTAATTTTATTTAGTAAAATGTGTGAGAATTCGAACTATTTTCGTTGGAGATAATATATAGCTATGCTTTTAATGGTATATCCACTTGAGCTTGGACAAACAAAAGCAATGGAAATCTCAATGGTGAGCAATGATGCATAAATTGAAGTGTAAGAAAGTGATGAAAATGCAGATTAGCCATCAAACAATTCTTCAAGGAATTGTTGTCATTTACACAAGAATTTCAAGAACAAATATGCCCTTTTTGGTAAAAGAATAAACTGACCCACATAAATCCCTCCCTCCCTTTCCAATGAGTTACTCATATATTCAACAAAACAAGAGCACCCTTGGCTCCTTCCACAAGGGCATTGAATGAAATGGATGTTAAATTACATTCTTATTTCTGGGGATGATCGAGCATTTTACCAGTTTGTTTATGTAATGAAGTTCAAAGAAGGAAGGCAAAGAGAGCTTGAAATATTGATTTGGGGCTTCTCAACTTCTTAGGAGAAGACATATCCTTGCTTCCCCTTAGGAGCCCTTGCATATGGTGATGCCTCCCCTGACAAATGCAGGCAAAAGAAAAGATTGAAAAATAAGACATCAAGTATTCAGTGAAATTTTCTTAACATGTTATCAAGTTTACCAGCACGGCATCCTTGAGCGGTCCCCAGCATTCGAGTCGATTGTACTTTTGTGAACTCGAATGAAAATATACCCTGACCAATGCATCTAGCAGCTCGGGATTCTCTCCAAACAGAACTGAATCCCCATATAGAACAGATTCAAGCACCTGGTTTTACAAAAGTAGAGGCTTTTAGCTTTATCCCAATCTAAGCTATTACACTATGCTATGTCACTTCCACCATTATTGGTAAGATGTGGGAGTTCTTCAATTTTTTGACTTATGACTCTGAATGTTGACAAATTTTTACATGATGGCAAATTCTGTACCTTACTTTTAATGAAAATTTGGAGAACAGATGTTGTTTCATGTTGAACTCCAGAAGCATGTCTAAACAACTCGAAAACCAGTTGTGCTGGAATGAAATATTCGACGAGCAGTCAAAGAAGATAAACTTACAAGAGGCAATTCTTTGGAGAAAATGTGGTATCTAAACTCGGCAGCAAGGTCAAGCAAAGAATTGGGACCGCTCACGTAGCAATGTACATGAAGACACATTTCATCCTTCACTTTCTTCCACTCAGCAACCACATCATCCTTGTTGTACCACCCTCTTAACTGTATACATTCTCAGACCCAAAAATGAGAAGAAAAGAACAATGCGTTGTTCCATTTTGACAATGAAGTAGCAATAAATTTGTACCTGATCAAGGTTGATAACATCAGAGATGGTTAAGGTGAGATTAGCAGTGAAGTCACAATGTGATAGTATATATGTTCTTGGGATGATTCCTGCAGACTTGTTCAGCTCCCTAGTGAGTACAACTTTTAACTTTGAAGCTTCAAATCTTGCTGGAGGAACCAATATCCTAACGGCCTACCAAAGATAAATGCATCATAAGACAGAGTAATACAAATTTGACAGAAAGAACAGGCAAACATCTTTTTACTTTCTGGCTGCTTTGATTCAATCATGTTTCAACCATCCAAACAAGGTCTGAAACTGAACTTCATTCGACAAACTTCATTCAAAGGAACCAACTAAACAATCAACAATATAATAATTAGGAGAGGCATCTACTACTTTTGTCAGAGGATCAAATCCCCACATCCCCACATTTGTTGTACTCGGAAACAGAAAAAAAAAAAAAAAAAATCAGGGGTTCTGTAAACATTATCCATCATATACTGTTCCCAATAGTGACTTAACTGCTGAACTACTTGGCTTTAATTAGAGATACAGAAAATCCGGCAACACATTTCTTATTCATAATGTGCATTGCTTACAGAACTCAAAAATCAAAACGAAACAGCACATAGATTAGCTACAGAATATCAAATTTTAGCAATTAGTTTCTTCAACAAAATTAGACACAACATTTTGATGAAACCCAACAATAAAAAACAGAATACTTATAATTCAAAGCCCTCAAGTGTATAGATAAGGACAACACAAACTTTTTCAATAAAAAATGTAATCAAAATCAGATCGGGCAAAATTCTAAGCACGGCATTGAAAATAACCGAATAGATTCACAGACCCCCAAAAATTTCCCTTAAATTATTCAATTCTTCAACTCGCAACTACAACCTACCGAACTTGGATCAGTCTCCAAATAACAAGAATGCAGTAATGCCACAACCCACAGCAGCCAAAATCAAAGCGAAAGAAGGAGAGGGGAGGAGAAATTGAACCTCTGAGACGAGAGTGCTGTAAGAAGCCCGAGTGGTTCGGAGAGAAGAAAACAGAACGGCGGGGTTGCTTCTGTGAACTAACTTGAACTTGGGTTTGCCCGGCGACGGTGAAAAAGAGTAACGAGCGCAATGAAAGGCCATGGAAGACGCATAACAACTCACGAGTCTTCTTCTCCGCCTTCATCTTTCAGAATCAGAACCAACCATTGTCTTCTCTGTGGGATGTGGAGAAATGGGGTTCATAGTTTCTTTGTTTTCTGTGATGTGGACTTTGTGTGTGTGATTCAAAGACCCCTCCCTCGCTGGGCCAAAATCTGAGGCCATGGCTCTCCCTCCACACATACTGATCTTTCTTTCTAATATTTTCAATTAAAAAAGAAAAAGAACAAAGGAGAGGCTAAAATTTTGTGATTGGTTGAGGATTTTGAACGTTGTGACACGTCATCGTATCCGGTACATTCTCCGATAACTTGTGGATAATGTGTGCTGACGTGGCTAAAGCTGAACATTTACACGTGCTCATAGTGAAATCTTGCACGGTATATCTTTCATTTTGGTATTATTTCATAAAGTTATTTAATTAAATAAAATAAAATTAGGTTAGCTTTTTATTATTATTATTTTAATACCACTAGGAGCAAAAATTAATGACCTCTTGATCATAGTCAATATCAATTACTCATTTAAGTTCATGTTACGATTAGTCTGTTAGTGTTGTTCGAATGTTTGAAGTTACGAGTGATTTGTCTTCCAATAAACATTTAATTCTAATTCAAATATGTGTTCAACTTTCTGTAATTTACTTTTAAAATATTTAGATTTTGAGAAGGAGAAAATCAATCCAAAGAATTCATTTCCCTTGTGTTTTAGAAATTTAAAGAAAGAGAAGGAAGTTATTAATTAAATACTGGTGCCACATAGATGATATGTCCGTCTCCAGATTTAAGGTTCATCTATACATAAAAATTTAGTACCATTGTTGTGCTCTTCTAAATATATTTTAATGTCTAAGTTAGAACTTAAAGTGAGAGCAAACAAGATGAAGAAGCAGGAATCTAAGAGAGTCTACTTGAAAATGAATGTGTTTCAAATTCTCATAAAGAGTTGTGTAAGAAATTTTGGCTTAACCTAGGGTTTTCCTTTCTCTTTTATATCATGAGAGAAAACCATCGAGAGAGAGAGAGTAAGGGGGCAGACAGACATAAATGTTGCGCTTGAGGGTCATAGGGACCCCACCATTGTCCTTACTTCCGTGCACTGCCAAAAGAAGTGCGGCAAGCATCCTCAATGATCCTTTGGAATGTATCGCGATTCGTGCTCAAGGTGTGTCAGCACCTTGACTATTGGCTATCTCTCATATGAGATGGCCCACATACATGTGATCGATCCCTCAAATCGGTATGTGTTTGGATTTTTCACCTATCAAACTAGACAATACAGGAATGTTATTGATAATTTTTCAAAGGTTTTCAATAACCTTCAATATAGAAAAGTGAATAATTTTTTCTTATCTTTTTGAAAAGTTTTTTAATAACCTCTCCTAAAAAAAGTACAAAATTCTTAAAAGCTTTTTAAACCTTCCATAAAAGAAGCTTTTGTTGATAAATGTATATCGTTCCAAGGTTTTCAATAAACCTTCAATTTAAGGTGGTTTCAAACAAATCTAACAAACACCTTAACAGTTCCAACCATAGGTTAAAGGTAATTAAAAACAATAGCACAAGAAGTTTATGAAAGATTCTTCAAATTATTCACTTAATTAATTCCTTAAAATAAGTCACATGTGTGAATGTTCATATTTTCTACTCAATTTTGCAGAGCATATAATGAAATCCCCGATCGTATTGTATTGTTTTTGTTTATAGTGAAACTTCCAGAAGGTATAACATAAAACTCATATAAAAGCAGGATACCAAACCAATAACATTAAATAGAAAAAGCTCCACAAATTTCAATATACATAATGAAAAAAAGAATAATGTGAAGTTTGGAAATAAAATTCCAACTATATGCAACATTTGTTTGATTACATATGGAACCTACAATATAATTGACATCAAATGCCTAAATCAACAATTTAATTTTTAAGTATTGATCAAACCCATTCATCATCTCCCATCATGGATCCGTGGCAAAATCTGAACCTTCATGCTATCGTCCACAACATTATTCATGCTCAATAATGTAGATTCTGAAGCTCCATTATTATCCTCCAACAAATAAGCCACCATCTCTTCTGCATTGATTAAATTATTGTCATTAACCCATTTATTCTCAACCAAAACTCTCAATCCCTCCAACTCCATGGCTACCTCCTTCATGCTCGGTCTCTCCTCCCCCCTTACTCTCAAACACTCTTTTGCCACCTTTGCCACTTCTTTTATCTGCTCCAACTTCCCCTCCCTCGCCATTCCCTTCTCCACAACTTCTTCCAAACGATCCTCCTTCATTGCACACAGCACATACATCGCCAGATTCCTCTCCGCTTCCGGCCCCTCGAAACTCACCGCCTTCTTCCCCGTTATGAGCTCCATAAGCACTATTCCAAAGCTGTACACGTCGCTCTTCTCCGTCAACTCGCTCGTCAACAAGTACTCCGGGTCCAGATACCCGAGAGTCCCTTGCACCATCGTAGACAGCTGAGTTTGATCCAACGGAACCAACTTGGAAGCGCCGAAATCAGAGACTTTGGCAGTGTAGTTTTGGTCTAATAGTATGTTGGTGGTCTTGATGTCTCTGTGGATGATTGGAGTGGAGGCTGAGGAATGCAAATACGAAATTACCCCCGCAGTTTCCGAAGCAATTCTCAAGCGGGCTTCCCATGGAAGGGAATAATCGTGATTCGCTTTGTCATGGATGTGGTCGTAAAGTGTGCCGTTCGTGATGAACTCATACACCAATAATGGAACTTGCGTCTCCAAACAGCAGCCCAAGAGCTTGACCACGTTGCGGTGGTTGATTTGGGACAGAACCATCACTTCGTTGATGAACTGGGAAGTTTGGGATTGGTCCACTAATTTCGATTTCTTTATTGCAACTACCAAACCATCCTCCAAAACTCCTTTGTAAACGGTGCCGTATCCGCCTTTTCCGACCACTGCGCTCTCATCGTACTTGTTCGTGGCCTTCTCCAGTTCCTCTTGGGTGAAGATTCTGACCATGTCGGCCGACGTTTGCCATTGAGAAAGATGCTGTTGGAGCATCAAGCCTCCATTTTTCTCAAAAAATTCCTCTTTCAATTTGACGAACTTCCACTTTCTATAGCCCAAGTAGAACCATGTAAGCCCAATCAACAAAACTGTGAACCCCACAGTAACTCCTGCATTATAATTATTTCATTTCACCAATAAACATTTAGAAACCCTAAAAACAAAAACCCACTTAGAAATCAAATAGAACCACCAAATTAAATTAGCTCACCAACGATGATTTGAACGAAAGACTTTGAGTTTCTGGTGCAACCTTCTCCCTCGCGTCTTCCATCTCCTCTAAAACCCTCAGGACAATTGCACGTATAGTTTCCTTCTGTATTAACACACTCAAACTTACAGTCATGCCTTCCATCCTTGCATTCATCAACATCTGAAAAAAAAAAAAAAAAAGAATCCCAACTTTAACAACAAATCCAAGTATATAATGATACGATATTATCGCATGTGATTAATTTTATTTACCTTGACAACCTCGAGGGAGATATGGATTCCCCTCAAAGCCATCAGAGCACTGGCAACGATATTCCGATCCATCCTCGACGAAGTTAACCTTTCGGCTGCTGGGTCCACAGATGCAATTGGTTGTATTCTCGCAAGTGTTGTTACTGATGGCCCAATCAAGCACCAACGGAACTCTCTCCAGCGGAAAATGGCGAATATATTTGGAGGAGAAATTGAACTTATCTTCCTCAATTACAAACGCGTACCCACAGGGATTGAAACTCAGCACATTAGTGTGATTGTCGAAGCTGCTCACTGTGTAGTTCAAATTGTTGAGGCCTTTGGGGATCTCCAGCTGGCAGCAGCCGTTGCCGGAGCAGGCACCGTCTTTAACGGTGGTGATGTCATCGCAGAGCGCCACGCAGGCGCTCTTGTAGAATTGGGTCCCGCCGACGAGGCCGGAGATGAAAGAGAAGGTGTCGCAGCCGATGACGGTGAACTTGTTTTTGGCGCTGGAAACGGCGAACTCCGTGTTGAGAAACGCGGTGGATAAATCGGGAAGGGTGTTTGGTGGGTAGCAATCTCGGGCCCAGAAATGCAAGATGTTCAGCTCGCCGGAGATGGAAATATTTGTCACGTTGAGGTTGCCGCCTTGTAGAAACGCCTTTGGAGAATCGTTGTGAGTTTTGTTACACGAAATGAAGAATTTTTCATTCAGATAACACCCTTCTTTCATGCCGAACGGATATGGAATCTGCACGTCGCCGCACCACTCCTCGCACCCCGGTAAGGCTTGAGAAGCTCCCGCCGCCGCCGTCGCCGCCGCCGCTGAAAGTATGCCTATTTGAACCGCCGTGATGATTAGTCGCATAAGCGTCTCCATTGGACGACGAAGGGTAAGTCTTTTTCTTTTTTGATGGGTTTGGAAATCGACCTTGCAGATTCAAGAATTTAAGGGTTAAGTTCATGTGGGACAGAGAATTAAAAATCTATTTAAGAAATTAGGAGGAAGGAAGGTGTCAAACAAAGTTGTTAACTTAAATTAATCATCCTCTCTCATTTTCACACATTTTTTTAACCCTGGATATATATTATTCAAATATATCCAAACACATAGATAATCCTAAAATTTAAATTCTCAACGTGAAATTAGCTCGAGGGGATGAGTTTAAATTTCCACCCCACTCGTAGTTAAAACATCATGAGTTTGAATCTCTCGCCTCACTCGTTATACTAAAAAATGATGACATTTAAATTTATATAATTGTATTGACTATTTAATTATCATTAAATTATCTATAATCTAATTGATCTAGATTTATGAATTATTATATGATCTAACATGATATATGATTTGTTCTTTAAAAACTATTAAAAAATTATCCATTCATACAATTTTTTTAATATTACTAATAATATTGAAAATTTAAAAAATTGCACGAAATCAAATTCTCACCTTATTTAGGGCAACGAAGTAAGGAATAGTGGAGAAGGAAGGAGATTGACCTCTCTTACAAAACAAAGTATATACAAATTATTTAAGATTTTAATCCTTAAAGAAGTATCAAGAAGTATCCTTGATGTCTTGGATTCAAGTCACATAGAACGCAATTCCAACAATGACTTCTTGAGTATGTACGGATACAGAGACAGTGTGTATATCTAAATATAGGGGCATAAGGGCCTAAGGACCACCGACTCTGGGTAATAAAAGAAAAATTAAGATTTTATATTTTCCTCTAATTTCTGTCCCTAAATTTTTTGAAAGGAAAGATGATGTGTAAAAACTTACCATGTAAAATTAATTGGTTTCTCCCCAAGGAAATTTGTATCTCCGCCCCTAATATACTATATTCTAAAATAATAATAATAATAATAAACTTTAAATTATATCTCACCTTGCTTGAATCACTTTTCTAAACCGTGTGTGAATGCATATTCCAACATGACATGCCCTACCAAGTAATTAAATTATATTAAAAGACATTTGGTAAAATGTTGACGCCTAATTAGAGCTACGGGGGCTCTGTCTTTGGCCCTTTCAGAGAGATTACCCAAGTTGTTGTACCATATAAAAACAAAGTCAAAGAATACAATTTGCAAATTTCTTATATTCTTTTTTACTTTTGAATATAGGCCGCCTCTTGTCATAACTTCCGGACCTAGAAATTTTAATCAATAAACTATAAATTACTTACCGAATATATTAAATAATCTTCGTTATTGGCTTAACATTTAGAGTTAGTTAAGAAGACTTGAAAGAACTTTAGGAATTTTTGTGGGACTAAGCTTTTTTTCCATAAAATGAAAGGAGGAATCCTTCGATCAGTTGCATAATTGAGAAAGATCAAAGACTCAGATATATGGATTCAAAGTATTTGTTCCTCCTATATATATAATTTTTCTTTTTCTTTTATATAGACCATTTCATATATAATTGTCAACACGAGCATAGTTCAAACATCTACTCCTTTTTCTTTAACATCAAAGATTCAAATTCCCACCTACCATATTTATTTGGTAATTTTTATTTATTAAGTGAAAGATTTGTTGTTGAATAATTTTATGGATTAGTGCCTTAATAACTCTCTAAATAAAGTTTTAGTTTAAATGATGTTTTAGTTTTACTCCAAAACTATTTTTTTAGTACAATATTTGGGGATGAGGGATCGAACTCACAATCTTTTAATTGAAGATATGTGTTAATTATCATTTAACTATGCTCGTTCTCTTGGACAGTTGTTTTAGAAATTGTAAATGATTTAATTTGACTTATGAGACGATGGCAGTTGCTAAAATATCGACACCATATATAGTTATGATTTTAGTTAATGTAAAGAATCTTAATTCCTAGATGTAGCAGTCACACAATTATTTTAAAAGTGCAAGAGTTTTTTTATATGTTATTTTTCCTTTTCATAAAGAGTCAGAAGTCATCATTCTTGATTAAAAAGAAAATTGCAACGAAATAAAAAAAAAATTATTGTTTAGACGGCGCCACCTCAAGGTCAAAGGCTGCAAATTTTGTTTAAAAACTAATTAATTACCAAGTCACCTCTCATTTTAATAACCATAGAAAGAGTTGCACCTTTTTTTAACACGTTTTTCACTGTTTTTTTCTTTTTCCTGATCGAATTGCTTGGGAATACAAGCTTCTAATTTTGAAAAAACAAAATCCATAAATTTGTCAAGGTATATCAACTTTTACCTTAAATTTGTCAATAATTATTAAATTCTTTATCTTTTATAGTTTTCTTTTTCAAAAAAATTTAGTTGGTGAATTGAAGGTTGGATAAAGGTAAATAATTTAATAATTATTCAAAGCTAAGGTTGAAGTTGATAAAAACTGATTAACAATTTAGGGTAAAAATTGAATTATTTTTCTTTTATTTATTTAAAAAACGGAAAATGTGCATGTTCGGGCTATGGGCTTATTCACGAATCACGGATGCTTACCCACCGCCATAGCCCAAGACAAGGCTTTCGCAAGGCAAGACAAAAGGATGCCTATTTTAGTAAAATGAGCATACTATAAAAATTATATCTATTTATTTAAATAAAATATTGAATTAGAGATATAATTTAGAAAAAAAAAAAAAAAAAAAACTTCTTACTTTATCCATATTCTTATTTATGAATGTTATAAATTTACAAGACTTATTAGAGTATTAGCCCATGAATACTGTATGCTTAACAAGTCTCCCTTGTTGTAAAGAGTGTTGGAGACATATCTTATAGTTTTAGAATATATATATATATTTTTTTTTGGTGATCCTCGACTACTTTAATTAGAACATTATTTTATTGGATCCCTAGAAGGCCTATTTGGCTACGGCGATTGGTGGCTTGTTAGCCACAAAAGTAAGCCACCCCTCCTTCCTAAATTTCAAAGAGACAGTTGATCAGTTTAACCTAACGTAGTTTAGGATTTACATATAATTGTGTATGTACATTTAGTTTGTCATGTAATTGGTTTAGCTACATTCTTTTGTTTGACCAAAAGGTAAAATGGTGGTAAGAATAGTTGTTCTGTAAAAGTTTATGTTGTGCTTAATAACGCTATCAGAGTTTTGTTAGTCAAAGTTTAGTTTAAAATTTAGAAGAAATTTGACTATGGACTCTATAGTTTGTGGGAGCATGTGATCGGCATGATTTACTCTAAAACTAGTAGGATGTTTTGAGATAGGGTATGTCACCCATGAATATTGATAACATTCATATATCTCCTCTTTTACACCATTTCTTTAATGGTATATGTATGCTTTCTTATCTTGTCCTCCCAAGATCTCAAATTTCATCTCTACAAAAGCTTAAATAACAAGAAGAAATTTTAAAAAGAAAAGAAGTCACTCTAATCATTTATGTGCTTTCTTCTCTTGTTATCTTATGATACTAAAAGAACTCTAATCATTTATGTTCTTTCTCCTCTTGTTATCTTATGATGCTAAAAGAACGATGATACGGATTACAATATAAAAACCAATAGTGATTTCACACAAGAATTAATATGCCAGCTCTCATGTTTGTAAAAGTCACTCAAAAGGAAATTTTCTCTAAAGACTTGAGTCCTAAGATCCTTACAAGTTACCCACTGTCACAAAACTCACCTAATTTCCAATATTCTTTGTCTCTCCACGACAAGATGCATGCCTAAGACAAATGGGAAATGCCTCTATTTTATAGGTCTAGATTTAGATTGGCAATGTGACCACACACAAGAATCACGAATTATGGCACATTGTCGCTATGGTCTTCTATTGTCGCATAAATTTTCCGAACATCATGGTGCCTAGCCATCTTCTTGATACCCATTAAAATGACCATCTTACAACGTGTTCATCCAAATTTCAATTTGGACTCCATAATCTTAACAATTATTCTTTAGATTTAGTCACACCCAATTACCACTACTATCATCCTAACAAAGGGTAATAATTTGATCCACCCTCATCACAACATGTATAATCTTTCAAATTCTTGTTAACTACGCCCTTAATTCCGAATTAGTATATTAGTTTATGCAACTCTAGGAAGAAAACCCTTTTATTGTCGAACCCTATAAACCAAAATGGGACAGATAGAAAATGTCGGCCAAAAAAGTTGATCATTGGAGTGTTTTCCCTCGAGTTCTATTGGAAGAAAGAAATAGAGGCCCCCTCCAACTTTTTAAAGGCACTCCTCACAAAAAGTGATATCTACAAAAAACCAATCTCCAATCATGAACAATTTGACAAATTTCTTTTTTCCTTTGTTTTTTTTTTCTTGAAAAGGGTTTGCCCGACATTTGCTTAAGAAAAAGGAGTCCAATGATATAACACCTAGGTTGTCTCTACTGTTCTTTACACATCTTGACATTCCCAATCTTAACAACAACAGTGTTCAAATCAAGATTGTTACAGCTTCTGTCTTTCTTTTCTGCACAAAAATTTCATCCATTGGCGAGTTACATCGAGCACTCTAGTAATTAATTAATAACAATCATATATTCATTATTCCTTTGAACACACATACATTTATTTAGCTGTCTTAATGAATTTAAGGTGAAAGAATTTCAAGATTCAGATGTGAAATCTAAAAAATGCAAAGATATTCATAGGGGAAAAAGAGGGAAGAAAAGAGGCCCCCATTATTGAAAGCATTTTTACAACGTTGAATGAGAGATGATTAATTGGTGTGTGGGGGTCGAGAATCCACTTTTTTTTTTTTTTTTACAAGGTTACATCGGAGGTAGAGAAGATTCAAAAACCATGAAAAAGACTATACTTTGGATAAGAACATATACTTATTAGAAATAATTACTGGTTTTATATTTAAATGAGATTATATTGTATCATGTTATGAATCATTACTAATGTTTTTTTTTTCAAATTTTAAACTATTGTGGGAGGATCAAACTATCAACCTTTTAATATGATAATTGGTATTTTATTTATGCTTAATTCTGAAATGGAACTTTTCAGTATTGAGACAGCTATAGGGCTTATTAATTAATTTGAGACTTATGGACAGCATGGTGCCAAGTAGCTGTAATCTTTTTGTATGCCACTTTCATTTGATTGTTGTTGGTTGCAACACAAGGCATATCCGATCCCTTGTAAATTTCTTCTACTTTCCTTGATTGAGTCAATTATTTGCTACCCACATGTCTCTAACTATGATATTAATTACTTCTGGAGGCAGATCTATCATAGCAATTAAAAATTAAACATTTACAAATATAGCAAAAAGTAAGGCAAAACAAATCAATTTAAATTCATCATTTTAGTCCATCTAAACAATTAGTAAAGCATAGTTGAACAATAAAAATATGCTAATTATTGGATGTCCTCCAAGGGACAAAAATATTCTAATTACATTACCAAAGTTCACTAATTAAATTTTTAAAAAAATTGTATATCTGTAATTAGTTTTACAAAAACATATTTAAAAACAGAGACCCACTTAAAATTTTCCATTTTTATTTTGGAAGAATATATTTGCACATCTTCCATTATTGGTAATTCAAAATTATACCATTTGTCAATCATCTGTCAATGATCATCAGTTGGAGATTTGTCAAAATAAACAAAAAGTAAATAAATCAGAAGAATTTAGAAGGATCGAGTTTAATTAAACCATGGATGCCACCCATCTAGGAATTATTTTCTACGAAAGCTAGCCTGAACTCATGAATATAAAAATAAAAAAAAAGATATGATTTTTATTTATTTTAAAAGTTTAGCTTACTTTTATTTCTATAATAACTAAAATACAATGAATATCTAATAGGCAGTTAGATTTTCTTATTATGGAATCAAATAATAAGACACATGAAAATGTAATTTTTTTTAATATCATGGTGCAAATTTTATTTGGTTAAAAGTACTTTTTTAACCCCTGACCAATTTTTTAAAAAATCCACTTTTAGTCTTCCATTAATCACACATTAAAATTCATGAAGAACACACCCTAAATCATCCCGAAATCTAAAATCTCTTAAACTATTGGATTATATCATATTTAGTATTCTAATAAATATAGCGCTTAGTGTTGTCTTCTCAAGTTCTTGATTTTAGTTATGTGATGCACCACTTCCTTCACTCCTTTTCTCTATTACGTTTCATTAAAGTTTCAAAACTGGTTTAACAACAAATCATACATTTGTTGTCTAAAATGAGTCTAACAAAGAAGAGAGGACACATGCGATAGTTTTAGTTCAATATTTCCTTCGATAACATGATATATAACCACTAAAAAAAGATTGATGTAATTTGATTATTTTATTCCAAAACCTCCACCGTAGATCACTTATCAACCACTATATATATAAATGGAAACTCCCTCATAATTCAATCCAAAGTGGCAATTACTTCTATTTGTAATGGATTCAAGTAGCCCATTGTTGGTCTTCTCCTCTCAGTCCCAATTAGAGCCACAAGACCAACGACCCTCCACTCAACTTTCCTTTCTCGACAATTCCCAATCAAACAAAACCCTCCTCCTACCTTCCAAATTCATTTGGCCAAAAGGGGATTTAGTAGACGCTCACCACAAGCTCACAGAGCCCTACGTAGACCTCCAAGGCTTCCTCAAGGGCGATAAAAACGCAACCATTGCAGCTTCCAACCTCGTAAGAAAGGCCTGCATGAAACATGGCTTCTTCCAAGTGGTGAACCATGGCGTGGATCACACCCTGTTGGCCACCGCCCTCGATAAAATGGGCTCTCTTTTTAACCTCCCTTCAAACCTCAAGACTAGAGCATCCAAAATGTGGGGCTTCTCCACCGCCCATTCTAATCGCTTTTCCTCAAAGCTGCCATGGAAGGAAACTTTCTCCTTTGGCTTTGACCATTGCATCACCTCCAACGATCCCTCTGTGGCCCATTTTTTCACTTCTACTTTAGGCAAGGAATTTGAAGAAATCGGGTAAGTCTTGGTCCTGTCTTGTTTATGTTAAGATATTCCTATACGAATTAAATTTACCCAATTCATTAGCTTAAGTTTTTGGATTGAGAAGAGTTTATTCATCCATATTTCAATTATTTATTCCCTATTTATTATGATTTCTACTCGTTGGAATTGCAAATTATATATCTAACTTATAGTTGGGTCTGGTTGCAATTTTCCAAACTCAGGAGTATTGAAATACCCATATATGAATTAAGCTTACTCAATTTGTTCGTGGATTGAGTAGTCATCCTGAATGATTTCTCCTCATTTATGTTTTCGTTTGTTAATAGTTTGATGAAATTTGATAACTAGGGTTGTGTACCAAAAGTACTGCGAAGCAATGAGGGAGCTGTCGCTTGCAATAACGGAGCTTTTGGCCATAAGCTTAGGAGTGGAGAGGTGGGAACTGCGCAAGTTTTTCGAAGATGGAAGCTCCATAATGCGATTGAACAGCTACCCAATTTGCCAACAAGGCGGCGTCACCCTCGGAACTGGGCCTCACTGTGACCCAACAGGCTTGACCATCCTCCACCAGGACCAGGTCGGCGGCCTCGAGGTGTTCGCCAACAACAAATGGCACACCGTTCAGCCCTCCCACAATGCACTCGTCGTTAACATTGGCGACCTCTTCATGGTTACCTCCCAAAACCAAAAACATACTTCAATTCAAACATTTAAAAGCTTGAGCTGAGTTGGATATGATTTGAACACAAGTAATCGTGCTCTGATTACATAATAAACCATTAGTTAACCTAAAAACTCAACTCTTATATATCCAATATAAATGATAAAATTTATTCTAATCCATGGATTAAATTTTTGGATTCATTGATGATCTATTCATACCTAAGATGGTATCACATGGAGAAGTGTTTTGTATGTTCAAACTCTTGCATTATTATTTCTTCTTTATTTATCATTCATTAGCTTTGAATTTATTGATCGTTTCTTCCTGTTTAATAATCATCAACGCATTGATTTGAAAGTGTTTTTTTGTTGACTTTTGTGGAGGCGCTGTGCAATGGGGAATACAAAAGCTGCGTGCATAGGGCGGTGGTGAACAAGCACAAGGAGAGGAGGTCGCTGGCTTTTTTCCTGTGTCCGAGGAAAGATAAAGTGGTGAGGCCGCCGGAGAATCTTGTCGCCGGCGATGGGGCGAGGAAGTACCCAGATTTTTCGTGGTCGGAGCTGCTTGAGTTCACTCAGAAATACTACAGAGCTGACGCTGCAACTCTCCCAAACTTCACCAAATGGCTCGTGTCGTCTAGGGCCTCTGATCTTCATTCGTCGACTTGAAGAATTTATCAGTTTTTTAGGAGCAAATGCAAAGCTCTTAGCTTGGGGTGGTGTTTTGTTTGGTTAAGTGTGGAGGTTAATGATCAGTGATTGATGATTATTTTCTTTTGAACCAATTAAGATTAAGGGTGGCTGTATTATTTAATTATGAGTGAAATTATAAATGATGAAATAAAAATATTATTTTTAAATGTAGTAACAAGTTTAAAATTGTAACGAAATAGAAAATTTTAATTTAAAATCAAACAAAAAACCTATCACATGAGAAATATCAAGAAAATAATCATGATATTTTTTTAAAAGAAAAAAAGTTATTGACATTAACAAACGTTTATGAATTTTAGAGGAATTTTCAATTATGCCTCCATCGTTTCAAAAGTTTCACTTCTATTTTCAATTTTTAGAATTGTTCAAAAAATATCCTCCCAACGAAAATGTGTGATAGTGAACATATAAAAACAAAAGATACACGATCGATTGAACTACAATTCCAGGAAAATTAGGTGTACAGCCTAAACTTATTATTTTTTCTCATTGGATTTCATTCGAACCATTTGGTTTCGCCCATAATTGGTGTGGTTTCAACCTTCAATTATGCATTCTCTTAAACTTTTTTAATATGTTTTAATTTTGCTCCTATTATTTTAAAAAATATTTCATCATTATTACCTTTTAATGACCATCATTAAAAGTTAAAATTGTTGTACATGTAGTGAATTCTTAACCCTATTTTGTTTCAAAACAATCATTCCATTAACTCCCCAATTAAACAAAAGACTGAAATGTAAAGTGTGGAAAGTTAAACATGGACACAAAATAGCAGTTCGGGGGATTGAATGTCTTCATGAAATGAGAGGAAGACTCAGCGATTTATTATTATTATTATTATTTTTTTTTTTTGGAGAAATTTGAAAAGTAAGTGTGATTTCATATAAAGTTAAGTGTCCGTCTTTCCAGAAAGAACAACAATTCTTTTTTTTTTTTTTTAGAATTTTAAAAAGATTTGGGTGTTAAAATTAAACTTTCTAAAACTATAGGAGTATAATTCAGAGTTAACCCAAAGGTTCAAGGACATAACCGACATGACATATACCTCTGTTTTTATAACTCATCATCCAATGTACTTCCATGTCATATTTATATTTTTTTAATGAAAAAGATAAAAAAAATATTTTTAAATAATTTTAAAGATGGAGGGTAGAATTAAAACTTTATTGAAACAATCAAATCAGCGCATAATTAAATCATACTCTAACCTTCAAGACTTATTTTGAATAAAACCTTTTCTAAAATACATATATATACATATATATATATATATATATATTTTGTCATTAGATGACTTTGTAAGATTATCACCTACTTAAATTATCAATAATGATCATTTTAGGAATGATACTTCCAATTGTTGTCCTGAGAAATGGTCATTTATGAGAAATCACATTAAAGACAATAAGATCAAAAAGACTAATTTTTAAATTTTACAAAGAGGAAAAAAAATCAATATAAGTCACCAATGTGCACTTTTTTTTTCTCGAATATTTATATTATAAATTTTTATTAAGTCATTTATCTTTTCAACGTGACATCTTTAACCTTGTATATCGTCTAATTATATATAAGTCGACAAAAAGAAGTCTACATGATTTAGATATACTAAATATATTTCAAACGGACAAAAACCGTTGATGCAATTTATTTTCAATGGCCAATATACATAGTTAAAAGAAAGATATATATATATATTTCAATAATTTTTTCTATCATTATTTGTAATTTGTGTGCGAAAAAGTGATAGTCTCGATCATATGTTTTGTGAATGGTATGAACTTAAAATTATTTGAAGAGACAACAAAACCACGTCGGTTTACGATTACATGTTTTTCCCTAAAACATGGAAAAAAGCATTTTTTCATATTTATTCCTTTTGGATGCTGATTTGTTCTTGTACACCCCACACCCACATTAATGCTGTACGACATGTCCCCCTTCTCCTTGGGGGCCCTTCCCCTACTTGTGTGCCACTGCTTTAAAGTTATGCCCTTAATATCACAACATATAACATCACACAAGAGTTTAATTTTCTAAAAGCAACATTTTTATTTTATTAAAAAGACCATTAAAATATGAAATATATATAATATTGTAGGACATATGTTAATTCACCGTGATTATTATGATTTTTTCTTTAATTAATTGTCTTGGTCTAACATTCATATCTAAGCCACTCATCAAATTATACATCATTCTATAATATGGACTCGGCATTTGGTGACCCTGACATTCTCCTACGACTTAGTTGTACTATCTGCTTGACTCTACTTGATTTGAGTTGCTTGGAGAGTGAAGTTTGTCCCTACAAACCAACACGGGTTCTTTCAGCGTGTTTTGTCCTCACTCACATTCTTCTTATGACAATTCTCTTGAGAGATCATCCAACCTAAGATTTCTTCCAACCAAACATGTCCAACTTTGAATTTCTTATGATTCAACTATCGAAAATAAAGGTGCATATTGTTGGTATAGGTAGTCACTACCAATTTTTTTAAGTCTTTCTTAACCAACTTGCACGATCTCGGCATCCCTTTTATTCAGATATAGTTTTGATTCATTCATGTATATTTCCTCTACTCGGGTGTCACGTGTTATATTCAACCATCATGGTTAAAAGATATATATCATTCAAGTCAAATAATTGATTGATAGGGTTTACTTTTATGTTGGATGGTACGTGGCAAAGACTTGGAGCTTTGTGGTACCACCTACCATGAGGTCCTGTGTTCGAACTCTGCGTTAGTCACAGTATCAGTCAAACCAGGTATCGAACCCCATTATAGAGACCCAGAAGTCATCGATACTTTGTTTTTTAATTACAATCAAAGCTGCACATAAAAGACCAAAAACAGAGTGGGATAACTTGATTAAGTTAACACAGTTATTAGGGTAGGGCAGAGGCATGGACAAGCAAGGAAGCTCGTTTGTCTTATTGGCCGACCTTGACCTGTAAATATATATAATGGTTTAGGAAGAAAAAGAAGAATTAATAGTAGAATAAAAACATAGGACCAACAATTCAGCTGATCCCGATCATTGAAGATGTTTAAACCTACTTTAAAAAAGGGGTGTCAATGTGGCAATATATAATGAAATTAATGGACCCCTACCCTACTTCAACAGGGTATCACATATAAAACCTTCATCTTGTGCACCTTCATTATGAGAGATTATTCTGCAACATATATATCCTAATTAGGCTACAACATATCTAAATAGTTTATTACTTCTAATTAAGGCATGGCTTAAATGAGTGCAACCACAAATTATTCAAAAAAAAATGTAGAAAACAAATTAAATGGAGAGAAATTATCCTAAATAACCACTTTTTTGAGATATTATTTAATACGAAGAAGTACTTTTTATTACAACAAGTGGGAGTAGGGGATTCAAATCCATGGCCTCTTTATCAAAAACATGTACCAATTACTGTTATGTTAGGTTAAGTTTATGTTAGTAAAATAGTAGAACAATTTTCTTTTTTTTTTTTTTTTTGTTGAGAAGAATGATGGAGTAATTCTCTCCTCTTAATTTGTTGTAATGTTTAAGATTTTGTATCTGTTTTATATTTTTCCTTTTTCTCCCTGAGAATTGAAAGTTTTCCTATAAACCAACATTTGGAGTTTTCACGGTCGGGTCCGGAATCAATCACTTGGGCCTAGTGGGCCACCCATCTGAAATGGGCAATCCTCGTCTAAATACTGGGCTGGGCCGGAGTTTCTGCTGGTAGTTGTAGTTCCTGAATGACGTCCATTAGGCCTACAAGAGTTTGTTTGTTTGTTATATCTCATTATCCTTATCCGCCGAAAATAGAATAAATAATTAGTCATTTTTCAAAAATTATAATTTATCCTTATATATTGGTTTATGGTACATTTGCAGCATTTGACCTGGGGGAGTTGGCAGCAGTTATAATCGATATATTTATAGCCAATACACAAAAACATTTTTTTTAAAATAATACTTTACCAAAAATAATTCATCTTTTATTCATTACTATTCAATTATTAAATTATTTACGAGTAAGAGGGAGAAATACATAAAAGTAGATATTTTTCTAATATTGATACTATCGATCAATATTTTTCTTTTTGATAAGAGAGGAGAAGTTTTACATCCATTGAATCATATTGATCAACGTAATTAACTAATCAAGTCGTCATTCTTCGTTCTAAAATTAATATGTCAACCTGAACATAGCTCAATAGATTAAGGTATATACATCATCAATTAAAATGTATGAATTTGAATTCTCATTTCTACATACGATTGTACCAAAAGAAAATACTATAAATTTTCTCACGAGGGGTCAATCGACATTTCCATTGTATTGTAAAAAAAAAAATCAACATTATATAAAAAATATCACATAATATAAACTAATCATTTTTAACTTAGAAACTCTGAAATGCTTATTTTTTCATTTAAATATTTGTTATCAATTTTTTATTTCTATAATCTTTCAAAAACTATCGGCATTGATATTTTATGAATATTTTCATCCACATTTCCATAAATTATTTGAGAACTCGACATTTTTATTTATATTGATATTTAAAATCTTACTCGACTTGGTTTTTTTTCTTTTAATATAACTGTTGTCTTGGTCACGTAACGTTGTCTACTCACATCTCCATCAAAGACCAAGACAAAGTCGTCCCTTGTTTTAGTTGTCAACATATTAAATATCCTACTCCATATATCATATATTTGATTTGATTAGTATTTTCTTAATTAGAAGATGAAGGTTCAATCATCGATCCCATATTTATTCTACAAAAAAATTAGAAGACATGACTAATTTGAATATAGCTCAAGTAGTTACGTATCTATTTTTTGTATAATGAATTTTAAAATCAAGTCTCTCCTGTTTTCTTTTGTAAAATAAAAAATAAGAGGAGGACAGGATAGTTATTTGTGATGGATCAAAATAATTTAGAGACACTGGTCAAAATTTTCTCGGTTTTAATGAGTTAATTCTATCACCAATCTAAAAATCTTTGTAACGGTTTAATTATATTTTAGTTTCTCAAACTCTAATCTACAAACTTGAAAGTATCTATTTTGTCTTACTTTTATTTTAATTTCAATTGCAAACCACATAGGTTGGAGTATGGGAAAAGTTTTAGGTGGAGAAATAATCTAATAAAAGTTAGAGGGGTTTTTTTTTTTTTGGAAAAGTATTGTGATTTTTAAAAAGATTGGAAAAAATGAATAGTTCCAAAATTATTTAGAAAAGAAGGGTTGGTTTTTATCTTTATCAAATAAGTTGCTCGAATAGACCATTGGACTAAGAATAAGTTTATCGATACATTGATACGCTAGAAAAGCTAAGACTTTTCAAATGGCGTGTCCATATTAATTTTTTGATCATGACGTATTAACGAGGTGCGGATGACTAGATGCGTGAGTCATGGGAGAATAATTTTAGTATTATGGAAGTATCATACCTCGTTATTCACACTATACTTTCGTGTTTATGAGAGAAAAAATTGATGACCAGAAATTTTATTAAGTCACAGGGAATATTAGTGCAGAAATAGGTGGTGTCAAACCCCTTTTTCTTTTTCCTCTTTTGTGAAGGGATTGGCGTGTCAAAACTTTGGTACAAACTTTTCATACAAAATAAAAATAAAAATAATAATAATAATAATAATAAAATAACCTAATAAAGAAAGTTCCACAAACATCCTTAAAATTTGACTTTTGTCCTTTCGTTTTAGAATATGGTGAGTGGAAAATAATGGAAGGAAATAACAAATTTAATATCTACATTTTAGTTTTGTAAATATAGTAAGATTTTTTTGAAAAAATAGAGGTTCAAATAATAAAATATCAAATTTATTCTCGTAGTCCTGATATACCAATAATTAAGCACTAATATATATCTGATATATACTTGATATACCTATGATTTACTATTGATATACAATTGATATATCGTTGATATAAATATGATATCCACTGATACAACTTTTGATATGCAATTAATATTCTCTCCACTCTTAAATTATCTTCTCTTCCCTAATATACTTACACTCTCAAGATAAAGAACTTTATTTTTAAAAATTTTTTATTTTATTTATTTTTGAATAAAAACTAAAATTCAAAAGAGAAAAACATTAAATCTTTTTTTTCTTTCATTTCTTCTTCTCATGACACGATTGCTATTCCAAATCTGTGGGTCCCGAAGATATTAGAGGTCTGTTTGGTTGGAAACTCGTATTTTATTTTTTGTTTTCATATTCGCTGAATCCATTGCGTTTGACAGAATTTTTTAGATTAGTTTTTAAAAACAGTTTTCAGATTGTGTGATCCAAACAATAGAAATTCTGAAAATTACTTTTTTATGTTTTTAGTGTTTTTAGATTCAAAATTTGAAATTTGTAAGATGCAGAATTATATTAAAAAGATAAAAACTTTGATAAAATATATTACTTCATATATAAACTCATTTTATACTTGTTAAAATTAAAACATGTAAAATATAATGTATTCTAAATTATATAACCTTATCATACAAAATTCATAAAAAAAATGTTAATAGATTACTTAATATAAATTTAGATTAAACTAAAATTTAGTTTGTAACTAGTTTTAGTTTACAAATATATTGCTAAACAAGCCTTGAGTTCGTACAAAGACAAAAAAAAAAAACAAAAAAAACACCACTTTGGTTAAAACTAAAAAAAAAAAATATACTTTTCCAATTTTATTTGAAAAGTCATACTACTTTTCCTAAAACTAAAAAATGCTGGTAAAAATTGATGAGCTTAATATAATTATTGAAATAGGTTAGATAATGTGTGAAAGTGATGGGTGATGAGTCAACCACCTTTAGTTGAAAGTTGGATTTCAACTTCCGATCATCCCTGAATTATACTCATGTCGGCTGAAACGTTACTCCATGTAACATCTTAAATACAATTTAAAATTCTCGGCACTCTTGGTTAAAGAAAACCAAAACACAGCATCCCCATTGATGGAGTCCCTTGTGCGACTGATCGTCATATTCATGGCGGTGAACATAGCCATATTATCAACACCCATTATAGCTTCTCAAGCCTTACCCGGCTGTGACGAATGGTGCGGCGACTTACGAATCCCATATCCATTCGGCATGAAAGAAGAGTGTTATCTCAACAAAACTTTCTCCATTAACTGCAAGAAACCCAACAACAACAATAACGAACCCCCAACCGCGTTCCTAATGGACACCAACATCAGCGTCACCAAAATAGCAATCTCCGGCGAGCTCCACGTCATGCAGCCCATAGTACGAGATTGCTACAATGTTCCAACACACCATAATGATTCCTCTGTCCCGAACATAACGTCTCTCTCGGCGCCGGCAATTTTCCCGGTTGCCGCCGCAAAAAACAAGTTCGTCACCGTCGGCTGCAACACCTTAGGCTTAATCGGCGGCGAGCTCAATGGGAGCGAATATGTAAGTGGGTGTGTTTCCGTGTGTTTGAACGAAAGTGCTATTGTTAATGGGTCCTGCTCTGGCTCTGGGTGCTGTCAGTTGGAGATTCCAAAAGGGTTGAGGAATTTGTCTTTGGCTATGTACAGTATCCCATTGAATTATACTTTGGATTTCAATCCCTGTGGGTATGCTTTTGTGACTGAAGATGAGGGGTTCGAGTTTTCGTCCAAGTATATTACAAATTTTGGAGATGAGGAAGTTGGGGTTGTGCTTGATTGGGGCATCACAAACCAAACAAATTATCATCAGTGTGGACAAAATAGCACGAGGAATAGTAGCTTCTCCGATGATGGATCTCAATATCGTTGTGAGTGCTTCAAAGGTTTCGATGGGAATCCATATCTCCCTCAAGGTTGTCAAGGTAAGAGCTTTAAAATCTCTAGGTCCGAATCTTTTATGAAAAATACTTGATTCGGAGTAATTTTATCTTTACCACCATTAAATAGTTGTTACAATTAGAGAAATGAAAAAATAAAGATTTTTTAAAAAATAATGAATTGTTAAATATTTAATGGTGACAAAGAGAAAGCATGAGGAACCAAGTATTTTCCATCTTTTATTCCACGTACCCATTATGAAATCTAATCAATTTTGCATTTTTCACTCTAACCTTTCTACTTTGTTGAATCCTCTGAACTTAGGCCGTATATATATATAGAGAATAAGTGGTTTTCTTTTCTAATGGAATGGTTCAATACTTTTAATTTAGAGCTGGTTTCGATATAATTAAAAATATTTTTGTACGAAATACTGGTTTCTGGAAAATTCGATATCCATCAATTGACCAAAACTTACCATCTATGGTCATGATTCATGAACCCCTTTTAAATGCTTTTGGATTTTTTCAAAATCATCATTATTCAAAACTCAAAAGTCACTATTTTAAAATGGACTGAGTTCTAATAAAGGCAATTTGTCACCCTGGGACCTAGTGGCCTTGTGGTCAAATAAGAATACTTTTTTTTCGATTCGAATCATACCGAACGCGTATTTGGGACATTTCCCTCCTTCCACTCCCATTCGAGGACGAGTCCCACAATGCTGGTTATAGTGTTGGGTGGCCGTCGACAATCTGGATTATAGGAATCAAACTGGTGAAGCCACCTGACTCTGAGTTATAAAAGAATAAAAATAATAATAATTGATCCTGTTAAAATTGCTTACCTGCCTTTAGATAACTATCGTGTTCAAAATTATGATGCTCCACCCACTCATTTTGATAATAAAGTAATAAGGTTTCAGATTTTAAGAGTTTATTTTTCGGGAATGTAGATGACTAGCATCTAGAAATGCACGAAACTTCATATGTCCGGAATTTTAGATATCTCGCATCTTCAGATAACCACGTTTGTTTCGTAGGTATATTTTTAAACATATCCGGAAATATTTGGATAACCACGTTTGTTTTGCATGATTTATTCTTAGGAATAGGTTAAGTTTATAGAATGTTCCAAAAATGCACTCACAAATATTTATATAATTTATAAAAATTCATCTAATATAATAGATTTATTTGAATTAATTTAATATTTTTATTTTTTATATGTTATTTTGTACAACAAAATAATTCATTATTAATTTAATATAAGTTTCATTTTCAACTTTAATACTTTTCAAAACGAAAATAGACGAAGGTACCTGGATATGTTAGATTGCTGTAAAACAAAGTAATCATTCTCATTGGAATCTTGGATTCTCACTAAACAAACCGATCCCTTATTGTTATTAAATTTGAATTTTCTTTTTTTTCTCAGACATAGATGAATGCAAGAATGATACGCATGACTGCAAATATGAGTGTGTTAACACAGAAGGAAACTATACCTGCAATTGTCCAAAGGATTTTAAAGGAGATGGGAGACGTGGGGGAGAAGGTTGCACCCCAAACTCCAAGTCCTACATTCACATCATCCTCGGTGAGTTTATATATATATATATATATATATATATATATATATATATATATATTTCGATATTCAGAATTATGTAATTATTAACCGGAAGAGTTTTTTCATGTGAAATTTTGGTTGCATATTGTTTTTCATTACAATATTCTTAAAAGAGAATGGAAATAATAAAATGCAGGAGTTGGCGTGGGGTTCACAGTTTTGCTGATTGTCAGTTCAAGATTCTACTTGGGCTACAGAAAGTGGAAATTCCTCAAATTGAAAGAGGAGTTTTTCGAGAAAAATGGAGGCTTGATGCTCCAACATCATCTTTCTCAGTGGCAATCATCCGCCGACATGGTCAGAATCTTCACCCAAGAGGAGCTGGAGAAGGCCACGAACAAGTACGATGAGAGCGCAGTGGTCGGAAAAGGCGGATACGGCACCGTTTACAAAGGAGTGCTGGAGGATGGTTTGGTAGTTGCAATAAAGAAATCGAAATTAGTGGACCAATCCCAAACTTCCCAATTCATCAACGAAGTGATGGTTCTGTCCCAAATCAACCACCGCAACGTGGTCAAGCTCTTGGGCTGCTGTTTGGAGACCCAAGTTCCATTATTGGTCTACGAGTTCATCACCAACGGCACACTTTACGACCACATCCATGACAAAGACAATCACAATTCTCTTCCATGGGAAGCCCGCTTGAGAATTGCTTCGGAAACTGCGGGGGTAATTTCGTATTTGCATTCCTCAGCCTCCACTCCAATCATCCACAGAGACATCAAGACCACCAACATACTATTAGACCAAAACTACACTGCCAAAGTCTCTGATTTCGGTGCTTCCAAGTTGGTCCCATTGGATCAAACTCAGCTGTCCACGATGGTGCAAGGGACTCTCGGGTATCTGGACCCGGAGTACYTGTTGACRAGYGAGTTGACGGAGAAGAGCGACGTGTACAGCTTTGGAATAGTGCTGATGGAGCTCATAACGGGGAAGAAGGCGGTAAGTTTCAAGGGGCCGGAAGCGGAGAGGAATCTGGCGATGTACGTGCTGAGTGCAATGAAGGAGGATCGTTTGGAAGAAGTTGTGGAGAAGGAAATGGCGAGGGAGGGGACGTTGGAGCAGATAAAAGAAGTGGCAAAGGTAGCAAAAGAGTGTTTGAGAGTAAGGGGGGAGGAGAGGCCGAGCATGAAGGAAGTAGCCATGGAGTTGGAGGGATTGAGAGTTTTGCAAGTTGAGCATTCGTGGGTTAATGATAAGAATTCATCAAACGCAGAAGAGATGGCATGTTTGCTAGATGGAGATATAGAATTGAGCCAATATGTTGTGAGTGACAGTATAAATACTGTGGGCGATAGCATAAAGGCTCAGATTGTGTCACAGATTCACGATGGCAGATGATCATTCATTATGCTTCCCCATATGAAAATATGGTTCTTCAAGCATCTATTTTTATTTGGGCTAATTTTCTATTTTATGTTAAATAATGTCTCTCAAATCTGATGGTTGTATTCTAAAAAGTTTACACTACATCTATGATATTCTTTATTTTCATTCTCTCTGTTTGTAATTGCTTATTAACTATAAAATATGGAGAGATAGGTTAAAAAAATCAATTTAAAATTTACTTTCACCTACATCCACCTTTATTTTATCCAACTAATCTACGTTACCACTGGACGTTAAATTTGAATTCTAAATTTTGGTATGAATCTTTGGCCTAACACATTATATTTCTTAGCCAGCACAAATTCCTCTGATCATAATGCACTGTCAAGAATCACAAGTTATTACAAATATATTGTGATTTTATCTCATACAATCACCTTGACAATCGAATGTAATCAAATATATTTATTCTACACAGGAATTACGGATATAGGTTGCGAGAGATTTTGGGCCCAACTGGACTTGGGCTCATTTTCCTATAGTTTGTATTAAACCTTTACTTGTCCATCTATGTAGCATATAAATAGTGACATTTATCTTCACATAAACCTAAATTTAATTTACACATAAACCTAAATTTGAATAAAAAAAAAGTGTTATCCCTTACTTGTCATTATTAAAGAATTAATAACTATTTTTTCTCTCTTTTATGCATTCATTTCTCTTAAATTTGAATTTTTTAATGATAGTAAGTAGGAAGATATTTATTTATTATTAAATACCTTAGTTTTATTTATTTATTTATTTACTATTTTGGTTTACAAATTTGGAATCAATAAAATTATAGAGGTAATTTTGCCTACATCATACAGGCTATCCAAGAAAATCTAAAATCATTAGTAAGATTTAACTATTTTAAAGATAGATAACAATATTAAAGTATTAAAAATGAAAATGGTGGTCCGAAACCAACTTTTAGTTCAAACTTATGAGTTTGAAAGGAAGAGCTTCTGCCCGTTGCCCTCAGAAAAAGACAAAAAAAAAAAAGGGCCCATAATGGACAGCCATTTATTATTATTATTTTTTTAATAAAAAACATACATTAACTTTTCAAACAAAAAAAAAATTGCATATATGAGACGATAGCAAGATCAATATGAATGCCATGTTCTTAATTCCACTACAAAGAATGGAGATAAAAAGAAAAATTACAACCAGAGAAGTTGAAATATAACTCTGCAAACCTAACATTCCCATCAAATATTAGGAAGGTAATTAAACAATATTTGATCTAGGTGATCATTAATTCAACAAATGCATGTTGAGAGGAAGAGGAAATAAAAAAGAAACAAAAAACAATACAAACACAAGATATGAAAAGTAATGTGTGTGTATATGTAATATATATTGTGTATATGCAAACCAGACATACTAAATTAAATTTCTATAGAAAGATAAAGCAATCCAACGAGATTAAGGGATTATCAATATCCTCCATAGCCACCACCGTATCAAAATCTTGAATATCCTCCGAAGCTGCTTCTCTCGCCGCCACCTCGTCTATCTTCGAACTGATCCGATGAATGCAACTAATTTCCTTCTTCATCGGAGCAGGTGAATGTAAGTAACTAT